GAGATCTGTCTGCTTGCACCTTCCCACCTACCATCCACCAAACTCCCTCTTGAGTGTCAGTCCCCGCCTCTGCTCTAGCTCCCCCCTCTTCCTGGGATGGCCTCGGCTTACTCTACCCTCCACCTGGCCAACTGCTCTTTATCCTCAAGGTTCACTCAGGACGCTTGCCCTCTTGTGCCCCCCTGGGCTAGGACTCCTCCTCCCCCTGAGGTTCCATGGAACCTGGTGCCTGCTTCCACTCCTGCTTTGGGGACAGTCTTGGTGTGAGATGCAGTGTCACCCTCTAGTGGTCTGCCCAGGGCCCACTGGTCTTAGGTGCACACAGTAGGTACTAGTCAGCATTATTAAGGTAGCATATCATTACCCACACCTCACAGACAGGGAACTGCACAGAGCAACTCACTCAGAGGCCCCACCACAGTGTGGCACGGACAGAATCTGAGCTCCCGGACCCCCAGGTCCGAGCCAGCAGGGTGGGCTCTGAGTGAGGAAATGACGTGACAGCCCTGCCTGGAGCCGCCTAGAAAAGAGCCAGGGCTCACCTGGGCAGGCCGGGCAGCAGTGGCCAGGCCTCAGGACTGGCTCAGGGCAGGGGCTGGCCGGGCACTTCATGGGCACACAGCGAACCAGGCTCCTCTGTAAACATACCAACAGCTGTAAAGCCTCTGGGTCTGGCTCCCAGAGAGAGCACAACAGGCAGGTGTGGGCACCCTTGGGAGTGGGCACAGGTCAGGCAGAGAGTGAAGGGCCCGGAATACATGTGAGGCTGAGAGCAGGGGACCTCCTAGGAGGAGTAGGGCCTGGGCAGAGGTGCAGGGACTCACCAGGCAGGAGCACTGGAGACAAGGGTTGGAGCTGGACAGGAAGCTGGCTCCCTCCTCGTAAAGCTGCCCCTCATACTCACAGCCTGGGGAGGGTGCCAGGATGACGGGCTGGTCAGGTGAGAGCGGGGTGGGGGGGCATCACCCCCGGGAAGGCATGACCCCAAAGGGGTGCCGGACCCTCGGGGCTGAGTGGTTGGAGGGAAGGCAGGGTGGGGAGGTCACCTGGCCGGCAGACGGGGCAGCACTCCCCGGGTGGGGTGTAGCTCTCCAGGCAGGTGAGCTCTGGGCACGAGGGCCCCTGGCACCGCACGGTCCCTGCCTGCGGGGCAGACACTGAGCCCTCCCTCCCTCTCCACTGCAGGTTACTGGGAGCTACTCCGCTGGCCTGGCAGGCCTAGCGGGCTCCGGGCCTCGATGCCTGGGTGGCAGCAGCAGCCCTGGCAGGCCCCAGGTTGGGGTGGCGCCTCCAGGCCTGGGGTTACCAGCAGAGCAGCAGGGACCTGGGTGGTGATGGTGGGTGGGGACAGGCTCTGATCCCTTACCTGGCAAGTGCAGGTGACACAGGGCTCGGGTTGCCACGTCTCCCCAGCCCCGGGACCTTCAGGGCAGCCTACAACACCAAGGCCCGTCCCCAGTAAGAGACCCAGAGGCTGTGGCCAGAGCATCCGGGAGGGCCCCGTGACAAGGGAGCACCTTCGAGTGGTCGATGGCAGAGACCTTGGTATTTACTCCCACTTTCCAGGAAATGGCAGTAAAGCGCCTGACTCTAACATAATCAGTCGATTTCCATTATTTACAGCTGATGGAAGTGTTAAGGAAGGGGTGCCTTTAAAAAAATGTTTTTTAAAATTTCTTTTTAGAGGATGGGAGAGGGAGAGAGAGAAAGAAACATTAACATTGAGAGAGAAGCATTGATTGGTACATCCTGCACGCCCCCTGCTGGGATCGAGCCCACAACCCAGGCACATGCCCTTGACTGGAATCGAACCTGGGTCCCTTCAGTCCGCAGGCTGATGCTCTATCCACTGAGCCAAACCAGCTAGGGCAGGGTGCCTTGTTAAAAAAAATTTCCACCAAAGACATAATATGGGCTAGCCTCCAGGCTGTGTGTGCGTGTGTCTGGTTTTTTTTTGTTGTTTTTTTTTCTTTAAAATATATTTTTTTTATTGATTTTTTACAGAGAGGAAGAGAGAGAGAGAGAGAGTTAGAAACATCGATCAGCTGCCTCCTGCACACCCCCCACTCGGGAAGTGCCAGCAACCCAGGTACATGCCCTTGGCCGGGATTGAACCTGGGACATTTCAGTCCGCAGGCCGACACTCTATCCACTGAGCCAAACCAGCTTCGGCCATGTTTCTGGTTTTATTTGAGATCCATCAACTCCACTTCACTCCTCATCTCCCACCAAGACTCCCAGGCTACATGTCCAGACCTCACTGCCTCCAGAGCCCCTGTCTCACCTTTCCCACTTCCAGCTGAGGCTCTTCCCGGGGAGAGAAGAGGATGCTCAATTACATTTGAATTCCAGATTGTGGATTAAAAAAGGGGGAGGGGCTTCTTTGGAAAGTAACCTCACAGGGTGATCTGGTCATGAATTCCTAACCTGGCAGATCATGGTGGGCAGTAATGCCCAGGCATACAACTTCTTAGTAAAAAATTTATATTTTTTTCTTTTTTTTTGGGGGGGGGCAGTTATCTTTGCTTTTATTGTGCCACTAGGTTAACACACCTTTGAAATAAGCCAAAACCACCCTCAAGAGAGCACATAATCTTAACTATCTTGGAATCCAATTCCTGCCTTGGTTTCTCCAACCTTCCTTATCTCCCCTCCTTAATTTCAAATACATTAAAGAAGCTGCAAATCTGTTATGCGCCAGAACCTTTGAGAGCTTGCTCCTCGGCTTATGTCATCAGTTTGGTTCAAACACACTCTTATAAAAATTATTTATGTGTCTGGATGTTTCTTGTGTTGACAAGATAAACAACTCGTACTTGTTTAGTGCATGTTCAAACGTTGCATACTTACACTAATAAAGTATGGCTTGCTTATCTGAAATTCAAATCTAACAGGGCATCCTGTGTTTTTATTTGCTAAATCCGACAACCCAGTCTCCCTGATCATGAGCTGGCAACAAGCCCCAGCAGCATGGCTTCCGCTTCCTCCCAGCTCTCTTCATCTCACTGGCACCACTGCCCTCCTACTCCACTATTTCCTCCTTTCCCACTCGTCCGTGGGATCCAACCCATCACCAGCTCCTGCCCGTTCTTTAGAAATACCCCTCCTTCTGCAGCTCACAGCCATCCCTGACTCCGCTTTAACAGTCCCCTAATTGGTCACTCTGCATCTAGCATAATGCCAGATGACTACTTCTAAAACAGCTCTTTGAACATGCCACACTCTGGCTCTTCAACTCTCCGTGACTCCCTATTGCCCACAGAAGGAAGTTCAAACTGCATGGCTTACAGCAGTCTGTTCCCACGGGCCTTTCCAAACTGATTTCCTGCAACCTCCCCGCCCCCCACCCCCACCCCCCGATCTTGTGTCCAGAGGACCCTGCAGCACTGTCTCTTTTTGGTGACATCCCACTTTCGCTTGAAGATCTAGCTCAGACAACCCATTGGCACCTGGTCTGGTGAGAGAGAACGATGAGAGAGAATTGGCTGGTAGGATTCCCCTGCCAATTATTGCCTTTCTACACCTTTTAATCTGTTCATTGGATTTTATTTATTTATTTTTACTTTATTGATCTTAGAGAGGAGGGAGAGAGAGAGAGAGAGAGAGAGAGAGAGAGAGAGAGAGAGAAACATTGATTTGTTGTTCCACTTATATATGCATTCATTCATTTGTTGATTCTTGCATGTGCCCTGACTGTGGGTCAAACCCACAACCTTGGTGTATGGGGACAACACTCTAACCCAGCGGTCGCCAGCCAGTGGTCCTCGGAACACTGGTGGTCCGTGAGGTCAGAAAGGTTGGCGACTGCTACTCTAACCAACTGAGCTACCAGCCAGGGCGTGTTCATTGATCTTGTATCTTCTCAGTAAGACCAGAAGCTCCTGGAGGGCACTTGTAGCCCCAGGCCACAATCAGGATATTGCTGACTGTGCTTCAGTTCTGGAGCCCTCTAGCCCTGCCAGAATGAGTGGGCAGGCACCCTCCGGGCAGGTGGCAGGTGGCAGGTGGCAGACCAGGGCCCCGGGGCCCCAGAATAAGGATGGGAAGTGGGACTGGGGCTGGCAGGAGGCCGACCTGGCTCACAGTGTGGGCAGCATGCTCCAGGCTCCGGACAGGGTCCCCTTGGGCATGGCTTCTGGGTACAGGTGATGGCTCCTTCCTGTGGGGAGGCAGACGGGTGGAGCACCGACACCACAAGCCTGGAGGGTGGGGCCTCCAGGACCGAAACCTCCCCCAGGCTGGGGCCTGCCAGGGCAGCAAGAGGCTGAGTCTGCTCAAGGGTCATGGGCGACTCCTGGTCCAAGGGCAGAAAAGAGACATCCGACCCCCAAACCCATCACTTCCCTGATCCCAGAAATCAACTCTCCCAGGTGCCACCAAATTCCCAGAGTGGAGAGATCCTAGGAGGGGACCAAGGCCTTCCTCAACGAAAGAGTGAGGAACAACAGGCCGGAAGAAGGTGGCTCTGGAGGCAGGTGAGGGCGAACAGGTGGGTAGATGACAGGGGCAGATGGACGAGCCAGGACAGTGAGAGTCCACAGGAGAGGGGTGATGCAGGAAGCCAGGCAACAGCATTCTTTGTCCTCCATGCCCCTGTTTGCCACAGGGGCCGGGGGGCCCCCTCCATGTGCATGGGGGTTCAGCCCCAGAAAGCAAAACTACTCAGAATCAGCTGAAGGCCACCAGTGCCAGGCTTGGGGGTAGGGACAGGTAGCTAAAGGGAGGCTGCCAGGTAAAGGGGACAGGTATGGGACATTCAGGTGGGTCATGGAACTCACCAGACAGCGGCAGGTGGTGCAGGTGTCGGGGGAGAAGGCCTCCCCATTGCCGTAGGCCTGACCATTGTGGCTGCAGCCTGGGAAGGAGATAGTGCTGTCACTCAGGCCCCCAGGCCCATCTCCAGGCCCCTGGCGGTGCCAGGCAGGTGGGATGGCACTCACCATGGCACTGGGGCAGGCCAGGCCGGGGGCCACAGAGCGCAGCCCCACCCTGGCAGACGCAGGCTGTGCAGGCGTCAGGCTCCCAGCGAGCCCCGTCAGGCCAGGCCCGCCCCAGCGCCCAGCACTGGGGAGAAGCGGGGCGGCATTCGCAGGACTCCAGCTGCCTCACCCTCTCCTGCAGGTCCTTGTTCTGGAGCAAAGAGTTGGGGGGTTGGAGGTGCTGGCTCAGCTTCCCCCACAGACTTGTGGGTTGTGAAAACTGAGGCAGCATGAGAAGGACATCTGACAGGTCCAGGTAGACATGGGCCCCTCTCTAGTCAGTCAGCATCCAGCTCAACCGTCACAGTTCTCACGACCTGAGGTCTGGATCGGACCCCAGGGGCATGGGGCCCCCAGGCTTCTCCTTTGGACAGAGGAGAGCCCATCCTCCCGCCCCAACAATTAAAGTCCTTTATTCATTGAAAATCTTTCCTGGGGCTTTATATACACTTATATAGGTGCTCTATAATGTTTGCAAATACATGAAAGAATATGAAGGTCTGGGCTGACAAAACAGATACCCTGGAGGTTCTTCATGTTTATGAAAGAAATGATATTAAGAACTGTTCAGATAAGAATCTCTCCATGTACATTTAAGACAAAACTATTTAGGGTCCTTTAGTGCCGCCTCCCCCAAGCCCAGCTCTTCTCTCCTTTCCTCCCACTACACAGGCCTGCCTTACCCCACGCGCACAGCACACAGCACACAGCACACAGCACACAGCGCACAGCGCACAGCACACAGGTCCCGCCTCCAACGTACCTGCTCTCTGAGCTGTGTCACCTCAGCCTCCAGCCTTTTCAGTGACTCCTGCAGAGGGCACCACTGCTCCTGGGAGGCCCCAGCGGGGTCTGAGGAGCGGGCGGGGGCCTGCTGCTGGTAGTCGTGGATGTCAGCAAGCCCCAGGGACGCCCTGGAGACAGCGCCACCTGGAGGCACAAGAATCCAGGATGGGCCTCGGGGTGAGGGGCTAGCAAGGTCCTGGGTCCTATCTTCCCAATGTGTGCCCCTCCCCTGTCCACCTGCCCACCGTCATCCATGGAAGGAGACAGGTCTGTGAGGCTGTTAGAGTGAAGATCTGGAAGGGGAGGAGGGGGGAGGGAGCCCTGAGTGGACAAAGGTGACCCAGACCAGCTTTCCCAAGTAGCAGGAACCTTTCAGTCAGACGCCAGCCCCAGGGATCCTGGGCCTCTGGGGGCACAGGGAGTATCTCGACCAGAGCCTCCCTGCACATCAGGGTCATTCATCCTCACTTGGGCCAGGAACGTGGCCAGGAGCAGCCCGGAGCTGACACGCCATGCTGGGGGCCCAGGAGCCGGCACAGGCTGAAGTGCGGGAGAGGGCGGCTGACGTGTGAAAGGCGGCTGCTTGAAGGTGCCGGGCTCTGGTGTGAGCAAACCCTGCCAGCCGCCTGCTGTCAGAAGGCGCCGTTCCTGGAGACTGTGTGTGTGAGTGTGTGTGTGTGTGTGTGAGTGTGTGTTTGTGTGTGTGTGTGTGTGTGAGTGTGTGGGTGTGTGTGTGGGTGTGTGTGTGTGTGTGTGTGTGTGTGTGAGTGTGTGTGTGTGTGTGTGTGTGTGTGTGCGGTGTGTGTGTGTGTGTGTCTGTGCGTGTGAGTGTGTGTGTGTGTGTGTGAGAGTGTGTGCATGTATGTGTGTGTATTGGGGGGTGGGGTGCTGCAACTCTGCTCTCTGTTCCCACCTTGAAGACCTGCCACAGTGCCCAGGCTGTGACCGAGGGGCCTGGGGACCCCACATGGGGCAGGGTGGTTCCAGAGAGTGAGACTAGGCTGCATTCCCTGAAGGGTTTGGGGAAGCTACTGGCAGGGGCCCCACTAGCTTGCAAGGCGCCAGGTGGAATGAAGACAGCTGACCCTGGTTCTAGGTGACATTATGTTGAGGGAAAGGGGGGCCTCTGAGCTCAGACACAGGCTTGGGGAGAGCCACTTTCACCTCACATGTGCTCCTCTCCTGCCGGCAGAGACAGAAAAGCCGTGGCAGGGGGCAAGCTAACTCCACAGTCACCCACAGACCGGTGGGGGTGGTGGGAGGGTCTTTCCTGCAGAAGCAGCTCATTAGTGGCTAAAAGGGTTTCTCTCACGGACACTAGTGAGGCAGGGGACCAATGTCACCCACTCTCCCCACCACCCCGCTGCCATCACCAAGGCGGGTGGAGATTCTAGTCCAAAACCTACGTTGTCCTCTTTCTTCCAAACCTGCATGGCCTGGTTTAATGCCACCCCCACCTACTCAGAAAGCTAGGGCTCAGCTCCCCGCTGCTGCACCTCCCCCACATCCCATCGGCTCTGGTCCCATCCAGGCGTCCCCAGCCCACTCCGCCTCTCCTCTCCTCTGTCTCTACCAAGAAGACTGAAGACAGAGCCCTCCCGCCCCTGGCACAGCCTTTCGAACCCACACGCCTGCAGGTTCCCAGCGGCGGGTCCAAATGCGACCTTTCACAAGTGCCACCCACCTTTTCAGCCGCCCTGCTACCCCCCACATCCAGGTTCTAACAGCCCAACAGATGTGGGCACCCAAACCTCTGGTGCATGCTGCCGCCCCCTCCCCGCGCAGGGCCACCTGGAATGGCGCTCTGCCCTGGCTCCTGCATCAGCTGCCTTCCTGGACAGCCTGTGAAGGGATCTCAGCATCTTATACCCTCCACCCCAGCTCGACTCCCGTCCCCCATGATCCTCCTCCAGACCGGCCTAAACAGGAACGATTAGAGGGTCCGGGAGAGGCTGGGGGTCCCCTGGAGCCCCCAGGGATGATGGAGACACCCACAGGAAGGGCGCCTGAGGGTTGCACAAAGCCCAGCTGCTCCCCGCGGAGCCGTCCTCAGTTCCCCTCTCTGATCCCTCTTTTCCCGCCTGTCCCGCTGGGGGAGAGCCAGCCTCAGAGGTTCAGTCAGCTCCCACTGTGGGCCTCTTTTTTCCTGGTTCTCAAGACAAATAATTAACTTCAGACTCCCAGATTCCAGGGCAGCCTCTCCCCCGCTGCTGCCTGCAGGAATTCCTCCCGAGGCCACAGCGGGAAGCCCCCTCCCGCTCCTGGACCCCACATCCCAGCCTCCCAGCTCCCCCACCACGCTGGCTCCTCCAGCCCCAGGCAGGGCCGGGAGAGGCAGCTGCAGCCCCAGCTCCTTCCCGTTGACTGGTCTGAGCAAGGACGGGTCTTGCCTGGCCGACCCTGAGCCCTAGCCTCCCCGACTCACCTCTGCCCACCCGCTGGGCCTGCGCCAGGCTCAGGAGCCGGAGGAGGAGGAGCTGCCGAGCGGCCCCCAACCCCGCCATGCTCGCTCTGTCTGGCTGCTGCAGTCTGTGGTCTGGGCTCAGAGGCACTGGGGGAGGCGGGGTGGGGACACACCAGGCCGCCTCCCACCCAGTCTTTGTTCAGGGAGGGCTTCTGGAGTCTGTCATCCTGCAGGCTTTGCCTACCCCCCTGGGGGCACCTCGACCCTGGGGCCCCATTCCGGTCCTGACCCAGTCCTGCTCTGAGGGGTAGCAGCCCCAGACCGGCAGGGAGTGGAGTGGGACTAGGCTCGACTTCTGCATATGCTGCCAGAGAAGACCCTGGGCATAAACACAAATTCGTCCCTCTGGGGCTCTGGGACAGCTGGCCTCCCTGCCCCCTTGGGTTACTCTAACAGTCCGGCTTTTACCCTTTCTCGCCTGTGTACAGGAAAAGTGGACTGAGCTGGGTTCAAATCCCGGTTCGGCCAATTCCATATGCCCTTGGGCAGTCCCCCTAACTTCTCTGTCCCTCAGTTTCCCTGTGTGTAGACTGAAGGTGATAATATCTACTTTATAGACTTGCAGTGCGGATTCAGTGCGATTATGCAGGCAAAGAATTTAGGGTAGTGGTTGGCACGTGCCAAGGGCTCCGTAAATAAATACCATACGTGCTACCCTCTCTGAAATCGGGGACTTCCAGCCGCCTCTTCCTTTCTCCACCTATTCATTCTTCCCTAGTCTCTACTCACTCCCTGTCCAGCCAGCAGACCCAGGCTTGGTCCCAAATGCCAAGACCTCTGTTTGCTGTCTGGTCCCAGCCCGTTTTCCAGCTCCTGAGCTCAGGCCTGGCCTGGGGGTGAGCAGTGGGCAAGGCAGGGGGCAGGGCTGGGCCGTGGGCTCAGCAGGCAGATGGGGCTCAGGGCAGAAGTGAGGGGAGCTGGCCACGTGGGCCCACAAGTCTGGGAAACTCCTCAGTGCAGCTGGGAAGCAGAGGGAAGTAGGGTTGGGCCCCAGACCCACAGGAAAGGGACACTGAGGGTGGAGCCATGAATCCTGCCCAAGCCATCTGCCTTCTGCCATAAAGGCCAGCACACCAGAGGCCACGCCTCCCCCTGCCCAGACGGGGACAAAGGTCCCCCAGCCCATTCTCCATGCACCTCAAGACAGGCAGCTTCTCTCCCAGGCGCGTGGGCCTCTTACAGGGCCTGAGCAGTTGGCAGCAGGGGGAGGGGAGGCTGTGAGGCTGCACTGAGCCCTGGCCTCAGCCAGTCTGGAGCGAGGCCCCTGGGGGCAGAGGAAAGCCAGGAACAGCTGGCGGAAGGACAAGGGTGGAGGAGAGGCGAAGAGCTGCCAAGTCAAATCCTGGAGCAGACGCTTTCTGCTGGTGACCTCGGGCAAGTCGTTTAACTTTCAGCGGTTGCATTTTCTGAGCTGTGCCAAGTCGCTCTAATAGCACCTACCCCATAGAGAGCCTGCGAAGGTTAAGCAAATTAATGTCTGGAAAGAGCGCTCAGCGTGGTACCTGGCACATCGGCAATAACTTTTTTTTACCCCTTAAACTATGGTTTTATTGATTTTTAGAGAGAGAGGAATGGAGTGAGATAGAAAAATCGATGAGAGAGAAACATCCTCAATCGGCTGCCTCCTGCATGCACCCCTACTGGGGATGGAACCCAAAAACCAAGCACATGCCCTGACCAAGAATTGAACCGGTGACCATTTGGTTCCTGGGTTGACACTCAACCACTGAGCGGCACCAGCCGGGAGGCAATAACTCTTATTACTTCTCTTATGTGATCTCTACTTGTTACCCAATCATGCAGGTGGGGGTTTGGGGAAGCAGAGCTTGCTACTCCAAAATACATCTTTTGGGATTTGCTTATTTTAAGCTGTTTTTTTAAAAAACAAACAAAAAACTCAGAACTCTTGAACCTCCCCCTTTACCTGTCTAAAAGAATTCCGATAAAGACCTGCTTTAAGGAAGGGAACTGTTTATTACATTAGCACCATAATATGATCTGAATGTTGCAGGCAAGGAGGAGCTAATTCTGTTTCTTAGACTCCCCTCGGTGTCCCATTGTTCCCAGGTGACCCTGCAATAATTTGTTTACTAAATATTGAGCCTTCTAATCTACCTCTGAATTGCTGCCTTCCTTCTGAAGTCACAGACCCCTGCCTCCCTCTCCTTAGTCAGAATTCTATGTAATATATTTATAATTGTCACCTTTCTGATGGAAATTAAATTAATTAAATTACCCTTTATTATTTTTAAATATTTTTATTGATTTCAGAGAAGAAGAGAGAGAGGAGAGAGAGAGAGAGAGAGAGAGAGAGAGAGAGAGAGAGAGAGAGAGAGAATGAGAATCATGGATCAGCTGCCTCCTGCATGCCCCCTACTGGGGATCGAGCTTGAAACCCAGGCATGTGCCTTGACCGGAATAAAATCTGGGACCGACCCTTCAGTCCACAGGCCAACACTCTATCCACTGAGCCAAACCAGCCAGGGCTGCACCTTGAATACCTCCCAGTGTGGCTCCAGAGCTGGTTCTCTGCCCCCAGGGACCAATGGACTGTGGGAGCAGGGTTCACTGGACATGGTGGCTACCCATCTACCCTTCCTTCCCAAGGGCATCCTAAAATTCAAGGCCTGATGTGGGACCTGCTGGAGGGCAGATGAGGGGGTGAAGGGTGCAGTGAGGGGGGAGGGGTCTGAAGGTGAGAAAGCTTTGGGAGTGGAGGGATACTGCAGTCTTCAGCCTTTCTGGTTCGGCTAGTGGCCCTGCTGAGAAAGCAGAAGGTCCCTATTAGAATCCTACTGTGAGTGCCTCTGGAGTAAACCTAAGAGCCGCCAGCAGGTCGAGCATGGGACAAGGTGAAGACCCAGGGTTCCCCGACTCACCAGGGATCGGAAAGGGCCTCACACCACTCACTCAGACTTCCATGGGCACCCAGAGTAGGGCTTTTGGGGTCAGAGTTCAGCCCCGGTTGGTGGGGCCAAAGCTGAAGCATAAAGAGGGGCACTCTGTCCTTTGCCCCAGACCCCTGCCCCTCATCCCAGCTGATGCCCAATAGCAGGAGATGTTGCCGATCAGGCCCTGGTCCAAGGAGGGGTGGCAGGACGCTGTCTGAGGACCTCCAGGAGAGGCCTCTCAGGAGGGGATCTGTCCTAGGCCTCCGGCCACCCACCTTCCGAGGGTGGTAATGATTCTTGGCTGATGCTGGGCCCCGGATGCCTGGAAGTTCCCCAGTGGCTTTTGTAACCCTGTTCATAACCCTGTAAATGTCCTCAACTTGTGTCCTGCCAGGACACACTCATACACCTTTAACCTGAAACCGCTCCAAATGAGGGTGGGCCCTTTGTCTGGGACCCTGGGGCAGTTGGGGAACCTGAGAGAAGTTACCCAAGTCCCATAGACAAGGCTCTGCCCTGAGAAGGGGGGGGGGCGGTGAGGGGTTAGGAGAGGGACCAGCAGGACAACTGAGGCATGGGCCCAGGAGGGCCAGGTGGAGGGGGGGCAAAGCAGAGAGGGTAAGAGCAATGCACCTGCCTCTTTGTGAAGGGTCTGTTCTCTCTCTCTTTTTTCTTTTCTAATTACTTAGAAGTTTTATTTTAGACTTAAAGAGTTCTTTAAGACATCATATACAGTATCTGCCTTTGCTTGCATAAAAAGGCAATTACAAACTACATTTATTAAGCTATTCCTAAAACTTCTTGACATTTAGAATTTTGGTGTTTTTGTTTGTTTGTTTTGTTAATCCTCACTTGAGAATATTTTCCCATTGATTTTTAGAGCGAGGAAAAGAGGGGGAGAGACATAGAGAGAGAAACATCAATGTAGAGAAACACATTGATTGGTTGCCTTCTGCACGCCCCGAACAGGGCTGGGGATCGAGCCTGCAACCGAGGTACGTGCCCTTGACAGGAATGGAACCCTTCAGTTGGAGGGGCCACACTCTATCCACTAAGCCAAACTGGCTAGAACTTGATATTTAGAATTTGGATCTTCTGGATCACTTTTAATATTTTTATTTTTTTACATTTACCTGCAATAAAATTCACTCTTTTCAGTGTGCAGGTCTGAGTTTTGGCAAATGCGGAGAATAGGGAAACCACCACCACAATCAAGACAGAGAACCAAGATAATCAAGATAAACTCATGCTGCTCTTTGTGGTAAACCCCGCCCCACACCCCAGGCCCTGGGCTGTTCTTCGATCCTATAGTTTCCTATGGGCCTGTCCCGAAGGGTGAGGCAGCTGGGGACTGGGCGGCCCCTCTGAGGGGCCACGGTCACTCTCTGGGCACATGGGCCCCCTTTTCTACACAGACAACACCCTTGGGTCTGAGAACAAGGAAGGAGACCTCCAACAGGCAACTCCCTCTACCCTCCTAATGAAGGGAAAGATTGGGGGCATATCAGGGTGGGGGTGCAGCTTGAGTGGGCCATAGCCCCAGGGAACTCTGGCTGCCAGAGCGTGGGGGTCTGTGTGCCTCCTGGCTCTGCCGGCCCCAGGGACTCGAGAGGACAGCTGGTCATAGTGGGGCAGCCACCCAGAACCAACAGAAGGCAGGATGTGCTCTGTGGAGCAGTGACTGCTGTGTTTATATTATTATCACTTCTGCCGCACACCCACATCCTCCCTGTGAACAGCAGTCTGTGCTGTTGACAGGACCGTGCCAGCTGCGCTATTTATAAACGGGGCGCCTGGGGCTCAGAGAGGCCAATGCCTGACCTAAGGTTAGCCCGCTAGGCCCTGAGCACAGGTTTGTGTGACTTCAAAGCGGTCACTCATCACTCATGGTTTCGTCTGGTTCAGACACCAGCGCTTCATTTTCCTCGTTTGCTGTGTGCCTTTGGGTGAACTGCCTCGCCGTTCTGAACCTCAGCGTCTCCATCTATAACATGAAGGTCATACATATTCTTTGTGCAGTTGTCCTTAGGATCAAATGTGACCCCAGTGCTCGGTGCATAGCAGGTGACATGTTGCAGTATTGCGGGCTGAATTGTGTCCCCCGCCCCCAATGTACATGTTGGAGTCCTAACCGCCCCACCCCGTACTT